AGTAGGTGAGTACACACACACAACACGCGCACACACAACACATACACACAACACACACACCACACACACACACACTCACACACACACACAACACACACACACACACACACAACCACACACATACACATCACACACACACACACGCACAACACACACACACAGCACAACACACACACACACAGTACACGCACACACGCACACACGAAACACACACCACACACACACATACACACACACACACACACACACACACACACACACGCACGCACACCACACACGCACACACACACACACACACACACACAACACACACACACACACATACACACACACAACATACATCACACACACGCACACACACACACACACACACACACACACACACACACACACACACGCCGCGCGCGCGCGCGACACAACACACACCACACACGCACGCACACACACACGCACGCACACCACAACACACACACACACACACACACACACACACACACACACACACACACACACACACAACAACACACACACGCACACACACACACACACACACACACACCTGGAGCATAACAGATACTTGAAACCTCTTCAAATCCACACCATGCGACTGTCACAAGATACCTTGAGAGCCCGTCAAGATGTAGTGCTTTTACGCCCTCCTGTTGTAACAGTGTCTCCCAGCTTTTATACTCCCTCTGTGTGTAACAGCTGTCTTCCAGCTGTTTATCTGTCCTCTTGTGTAACAGCTGTCTTCCAGCTGTTTATCTGTCCTCACTGTGTGTAACAGTTGTCTCCCAGCTGTTATCTGTCCTCCTGTGTGGTAACATTGTCTTCCATTTGTTTATCATGTCCTGTGTGTAACAGTTCCTCATTTTTATCTGTCCTCCTGTGTTAACACTTCTTCCACTGTTACTCCTCTGTGTGGTAACAGCTGTCTTGTGTTTATTGTCCTCCTGTTGGTAACACTGTCTCCAGCTGTTTATCTGTCCTGTGTGTCAAGCTGTCTTAGTTGTTATCTGTCCCCTGTGTGTAAGTTGTCTGCTTTTATCTGTCCTCCTGTGTGGTAACAGTTGTCTCCCAGCTGTTTATCTGTCCTCCTGTGTGGTACAGCTGTCTTCCAGTTGTTTATCTGTCCTCCTGTGTGGTAACAGTTGTCTTCCACTGTTTATCTGTCCTCCTGTGTGGTAACAGTGTCTCCCAGCTGTTTATCTGTCCTCCTGTGTGGTAACAGCTTGTCTTCCAGCTGTTTATCTGTCCTCCTGTGTGGTAACAGTTTGTCTCCAGTGTTTATCTGTCCTCCTGTGTGGTAACAGTTGTCTCCCAGCTGTTTATCTGTCCTCCTGTGTGGTAGCAGCTGTCTTCCAGTTGTTTATCTGTCCTCCTGTGTGGTAACAGTTGCTCCCACTGTTTTCTGCCTCTTGTGTGGACCTGTTCAGCTTTTTTATCTGTCCTCCTGTGTGGTAACAGCTGTCTTCCAGCTGTTTATCTGTCCTCCTGTGTGGTAACAGTTGTCTCCCAGCTGTTTATCTGTCCTCCTGTGTGGTAACAGTTGTCTTCCAGTTGTTTATCTGTCCTCCTGTGTGGTAACAGCTGTCTTCCAGTTGTTTATCTGTCCTCCTGTGTGGTAACAGTTGTCTCCCAGCTGTTTATCTGTCCTCCTGTGTGGTAACAGCTGTCTTCCAGATGTTTATCTGTCCTCCTGTGTGGTAACAGTTGTCTCCCAGCTGTTTATCTGTCCTCCTGTGTGGTAGCAGCTGTCTCCCAGCTGTTTATCAGCCTTCTTGTGTGGTAACAGCTGTCTTCCAGCTGTTACTCCTGTCTGTCCTCCTGTGGGGGGTAACAGGTGTCTCCAGCTATTTTAGGGGAGTTAGCTGAGATTTAAAGCCTATCTACTGCAGCATGATTATTAAGGCTGCAAGTCACTTGCATATCCTTCATATATAAATTAACGTAAACTATCAGTGTATACATACTGAGAGACATACACACACTGTATTCTTCAGTGGTGTCAGTGTAACCCACTGAATACTGTGATGTGGAAATTTTCACAAATTATTATTATTATTATTATTATTATTATTATTATTATTATTATTATTATTATTAATTATTATTGTGTATGAAGAGTATAATTCACAATAACGACACAGGATATATACACTGAGGTGTATGTCTCTCAGTGTGTATATATTGTGAGGCGAATGTATCAGTGTATATACACTGTGATGTGTATATCTCAGTGTATATACAGTTGCGAGCTTACTTCCGTCTCTGCTTTAAGAATCAAAATGTTCTTGACTGGTGGTTAAATCCCTCGTGTCGTCAGTAGCCTTTAAACCCTCCATTAACCACCCGACCATCCAGCACCGTGGTTGCAGCAGCGGGAATACAATCCACAATAACAGAAACAACAAATTCTCAGGTACCACTGAAGGATCGCGGAACAACGGCGGTGACGATCGGTATCGCACGGGACGATAACCAGTGAGGATGGACTGTAGAGATATTGCAGATACCGTGAAGCGTCACGGGTAGCATTGCAATGGGGGTTGAAAGAACCTTGGAGAGTGTGAAGGAAGTCACGATATGCTCTAGCTGAAGCCATGCGAGAGTAAGTTATGTCTGTAGCTTCGTCCATTATAGGCGCATAACGACTACAACACAAATTCCACTGTCAGTTGACGTAATGATGTAAATAGCCTGTATAAGGTCACATAATTATGGATATACCTTGTGTAAGGTCACGTAATAATGCAGTCTGTATAAGGTGACATAAATATGTATATACCCTGTTTAAATTTTAATAATTACGTAAATAGCCTGTGTAAGGTCACGTAATGATGTAAATATTTTGCATAAAGTCACGTAATGGCGTAAATATTTCGTATAAAGTCATCGGTCATAGAGTCTCAAAACTCCAGCCCGTCATTACGATTTCTTAAGTCAAGTCGTATAAAGTCATGTAATGATATAAATAGCCTGTACAAGGTCAGTGATAAATCACTGTAACCAACTTTAGCCATATTTAACAGTTAAGATATGCGTAAACCTGAAGACCCTGTACTCGTAAATCCCGAGAAGTATATTTCTCTCTTCATGTCCATACTCCGAGAGTGAAGGAGTGTATATCCCAGTACATGTATATTGTATAGTATAATCCCTGTATTAAGTATGGCAACGTCCTTGACCGGTGATGCACAAGTAACATGCAACCTTAATGGCGGTCCTGCCACCCATAGATTTTATTTATGCATCTGTATGTCCCGCAGCCACTGCAGCGTTCAGTTTGAGGAAAGAATAATGGATAGCTAGGTTTAGAACCTGCTGGATCAGTCTCACGGTGGAACTGGCAGCTGCTGCTTCAAGTTTCATAACATAACTACTCATAACTACTCGTAACACGTAACCACTCATGACAACATAACTACATATAACCCAGTCATCACATACATAGCCACACACACACTACATAACCAGTCACAAGCACACATAACCTATCATAACGACTCATGAGAGTGGTTATGAGTTATGGAACTAGCAAATCAACGTAACTCACATAGACACATGCGCTCGGGGTCGTATAACGATGAGTGAGGTGAGCTGAGAGGTTGTAGGAAGCTGATAGCCGCAGCGATGCTTCTGTGAGCGCTAGAGAGCGCGGCCATTGCACTCACCTATCAGCCCATAAAACTGAGAGAGCTTCCCAAGCACCACTGTTATTTTTAAGCTGCAGCGCGAGTCATGAGTGTGTTGTGATGGTGGAGAAGCAGGTAGGAAGGACGTCTCTCAAGGTCACCAGCACATACATCACTCACCTTCACGCTCACACACACACACACACAGGCGCCAGGAGCTGAGTCTCGACCCCTTCAACCACAATTAAGTGAGTACAATGAGGTGACTACACACACACACCACACACACACACACACACACACACACACACACACACCACACACACACACACACACACACACACACACACACACACACCATACATGCCTCACAAGCCAACATTACAGCGCTGAATATAAATGATGTGCTGCCGAGAGCAGTAATAATAATAAGTAATAATAATAATAATAATAATAATAATATTAATAATAAATAATTTATTTCAAATCGTTATACAAAAATATACAACAATTTGAAAGCCCAAAATAAACACAGCATTTTTAGAAAAATTATCTAGGCCTATAAAAAAAATCTACATGTGTGTGTGTGTGTGTGTGTGTGTGTGTGTGTGTGTGTGTGTGTGTGTGTGTGGACAAAAACACTCTTTGTAGAACCATCGATACACAATACTTTTTACCATGACACTGAGATCGAAATATCATACCAATTAAAGTTATTCTTGTGTAAAATGTGTCTCCAAAACATTGATAAAATCAACATTTTTTTTCACAGTTGCGTTAATTAACATAACAGATTAAATGCAGTCTAATTAAGGACGAAATTCCCCTCACCGTCATTCAGATATTTGTTTAATATGGGGAGATATTTATTTTCGATCTCCGCCCTTTGTTTTGACACCGGGGTTGTTTCACTGAGTGGTAATGAACCCATGTGATGTGTGGATGGACATAGTGGTAATGAACCCGGTGTCATAATCGCAATGTGATGTGGGGATGGACATAGCCATAACGAACCCGGAGTCATAATCCCTATGTGATGTGTGGATGGACACAGTGGTAACGAACCCGGTGTCGTAGTTCCCATGTGATGTGTGGATGGGCATAGTGGTAATGAACCCGGTGTCATAATCCCAATGTGATGTGGGGATGGACATAGCCATAACGAACCCGGAGTCATAATCTCTATGTGATGTGTGGATGGACACAGTGGTAACGAGCCAGGTGTCGTAGTTCCCATGTGATGCGTGGATGGACACAGTGGTAACGAACCCGGTGTCGTAGTTCCCATGTGATGTGTGGATGGACACAGTGATAACGAACCAGGTGTCGTAGTTCCCATGTGATGTGGGGATTGACACAGCCATAATGAACCCGAAGTCAAAGTCCGCACATGGCGTGAGGACGCACACAGCTGTAACCATCCCGGCGTCAAAGTCCGCACATGGCGTGTGTGAGCCGTCAGACCGTGGCTGTGTAGCGGGAACGGGTTTCCGCTCGCGGGGTGAAGCCTTCGCCAAGGCGAGGCGGAGAGGACGAGCCGTCCGCGGGACGGAAGGATGTCTGCACTTCTATATTTGTAGTCACTTGTTGCCGCTGCTGGCTCAGTCTTACCAAAACTTCCCAGAAAGACAAACTAATATTATTTGAAATTAAAATAGGAGCGTTCAATACACATGAATTATAATTATATAACGCAAGAAAACGAATAATAATTATTTTCTTACTAATATATATATATATATTATATATATATATATATATATATATATATATATTATATATATATATATATATATATTATATGTATATAATCTCTTGTCCTTTTCTGTAGTTTCATTCATTAGCTCAAATAATAGTAATTTATTTATGATATTGAATTCTTACGCAAATAATTGAGATATGTTAGTCCATACACGAGGATGGTGTAACAAGAAACTGGTTCGTGGAATTAAAGACGAAAGAGCAATTCACAGAAAATAGTAAGACTATGTTAGGGGTAGGGAGAGAGGGGGGGGAATGGGAGGGGACAAGGATTGTTAGATGATGGGTGGTGGAGGGAGGTGGAAGGACGGATGTTGAAAAGAGGAGTGATGGTGTGGGAGGAGGAGCTTGATGGGGGGAGGGGGAGTGGATAAGTTTCTCCACCTCTATGTAAACCTTACAGGATGTGGATTGAGACACTTATGCAACATATGGGAATCTTTATTGAGGAAACGTTTCACCACACAGTGGCTTCATCAGTCCAATACAAATCAGAAGGGTGTAAGGAGAGGAGGAATTTGAGGTAATCAGTCCCTCAGCCTGTGCTGTACTGTCTACAAGATTGATGGACTGAACACATCGACTCCAGGGTGAGGGACAGATTACCTCAAACTACTCCTCTCCTTACACCTTTTTGATCTGTATCGGACTGATGAAGCCACTGTGTGGCGAAACGTTTCTTCAATAAAGATTCCCATATGTTGCATAAATGTCTCAAGCTTCAACTTGTCGAGTTTTTTAAACCATTTATCACACTTACAGGGTGTGGCAAAACACCTTGCTGTCAAGGATAACATATTCCAACTTTAGCATTATTTCCCACATAAAATATATTTTTCACTTGTAATTAATACCTCTGCTATACATTTACAAAACACTATCACTCTCTGATCCAGAAATCTTGGAGTTGTATCCACATTTTTCATCGACTAGATGCAACCCACTTAAGATCATTTTTTAGTGGTAATACGATATCACTTTTTGAGATAGTATTACCTCCAGGTGATGTAACAATGCTCAGTGATGATCTGACAAAGATCCATTATGACCTCTGTAATCCTGATTTTTTCAGCAACCACTCACAGGATGAATATTGGGTGCACAATAAACTAGCAGCTCAGGAGGCACAACTAAACTCAACTAACACCTTCAGACCATTCTTCCCCCATATTTGCAATTCCGTTGAACACTGTACCACTAAGAATTATCCTCAAGGCCGTAGTCCGGATTTCTTCAAATATCTGAAGCACAGCCCGTAGAAAATAAAGCGTAGAACATGGTAATGAATATGAGATCCAATAAACATGTCTAGCATATTAACGTTGAGGTTAATGTTTCTTCCTACAAGTGTTCTCTCCAAGTCTACAACGTAGGTCACTTAAAATATTTTTGTTTATATATATTGCTTGCAGAGCTGATTGGTGCGAAAAGGTAGCAGATTAATGTATATAGCCGATCATGAACTTGTTGGGTTTGAATATGGATATGACGAGACTACATTCAATGCTTCTAGTCGTGAAGGCGTCGAGGAGTGCTTGTAGTGTCGGAGGTATTGGCAAAGATGCAGATATTCGGATAACGGATGACAGCGTCATCTTGTGTAGGGATGCTTGACGCAAGCCTCTGAATCAGTAAATTAAACAGAGTGGGGCAGAGTATTCCTTCCTGAAGTGTGCCCAGCTCACGTGGTGGTACTCTTGACACTTCTGTATATGACTAAGAGTGTTCTGTTGCTCAAGTATCCTTGGATTCAAGTTGCTAGTTTACCCTCTGACACCAAAAGTGGCCAGTTGTTCCAAGATCAGTTCTCGGTTGGCTACTTGAGAAGGTACCTCTGAGAAATCAATAAAGGCTGCCTTTGTGCCAGCAAAGGAAGTTTGGGTGGTTCTCTCACATATTCTAGGAACCCATAGAGACTGGGAGAGTTGATGTTGTGTTTGGACACTGAGGCTGTTAGCGACAGTTTTCCCAAAAACTTGACACTTACAAGATGTTAAGGAGATAGATCTAACGTTGTATAGATTTGCTTGTGGAAAGGACTCGATGTGAGACTATCCAGCGGCCAGGCAGGACGCAATACCTTTGATGAATTTCCAGTCTTACTCTCAAGTAGGAAAACTTTTGAAAAATCATCAAAGGTATATCAAAGGTAAAGATATAAAGGTGGCCAAGTAGCATACGTCGAGGATGGTCAAGGTTCAAGCAAACGGGTGTTAAGGTTTTATTTTAGATCACATTAGTGATGTAGAAGTCGCAAGAATAAGTACATATATGTATAAATTACCAGGATGCCACAAGAACGTCAAAGTGTCTTATTCTCCACTGAGGTCGTTGTAATATTGCCGACAGTACCTCTCTTAAATCACTCAACTCTGGGTTTGCTTTGAGAAATTGGTAGAGTTGGCTATTTTTCTAATTTCTATATTCCTCTGGGAGAGAAGGAATTAGATGAGGTGGGGTAGAGAAAGTGTGATGTTGGGAGGGACGGATAAGGTGGGAGGTGTCCCGGAGCTCTATCGCTAGCGCACTCGGCTCACACACTGAGGTCCGGAGTTCGAATCCCCAGTATAGCTGGAAAACATTAGGACGTGTTTCCATAAGAAACCTGTTGTCCATGTTCACCCATCAGTATAAAATGGGTACTTGGGTGTTAGTCGACTGGTGTGGGTCGCATCCTGGGGACAAAATTGACCTAATTTGCCCGAAATGCTCTGCATAACAAAGGGCTTTCTATATAGTAGTATGTCATTGATGTCAGCTAGACCTGTATACCTTGTACATGTACTTGCAGAAATAAAGATAATGGTAGTAGTAGTAATAGAGGGAGGGAACATGAAGGGTGTAACGAACGTTCCCGGCTTCGGCTGCACCAGACCTCCTGACGCCACTAACAACACTCCCTCCCTCTACTCCTTCCTCATGCCTCCCCTCCCCTCCCCTCCTCTCTTCGGTAACAGATCCCATCCCCCCCCCTCCCCGGTGGTAACACTCCAATACCCTAAACCGCTCTTGGTAACCCCCTGCCCACCAACCCACCACACTCCATAACCATCCTTCTCTCCGCCAGTCCCACCAACCCAATAAGTGTCTATAGGTACAAGTACATATAAGTACAAATAAGTAAGTTTATTCAGGTATACACAAATACAATTACATAGCTAACATGTGTGTAAATTACCCAGGATATTCCATGAAAGTCAGACACCCAACCTCTCTTCCCCACCAACCCACGACACCCTGGCTGCACACTAGAGTCAACCAGAGTGCATAATAACAACACTGGTGGTGTGCTCACACCATCACTGAGATTACCGCAAGTCCTTGAGAATAACCTACGAGGCTAACTGCTCTTCGCAACACATCTGGTGGCGGCTCCTATCATAGTGCTCAGTAACGGTATATATATATATATATATATATATATATATATATATATATATATATTATATATATATATATGTATATATATATTATATATATATATATATTATATATATATATATTATATATATATATATATATATATCCTAGGTAGTAGGTTGGTAGACAGCAACCCCAGGTTTTCTTCTATTTTCTTTCTAGTTCTTGTTCTTGTTTATTTCCTCTTATCTCCATGGGGAAGTGGAACAGAATTCTTCCTCCGTAAGCCATAAGTGTTGTAAGAGGCGACTAAAATGCCGGGAGCAAGGGGCTAGTAACCCCTTCTCCTGTATATATTACTAAATTTAAAAAGAGAAACTTTCGTTTTTCTTTTTAGGCCACCCGCACGTGCAAAGAAAATGATAGGATGGATAATGAGAACTTTCAAAACGAGAGATGCCAAGCCCATGATGATCCTTTTCAAATCACTTGTTCTCTCTAGGCTGGAATACTGCTGTACATTAACATCTCCATACAAAGCAGGTGAAATCGCAGATCTAGAGAGTGTACAGAGATCCTTTACTGCACGTATAAGTTCTGTCAAGCACCTTAACTACTGGGAACGCTTGGAAGCACTTGACTTGTACTCGTTGGAACGCAAGAGGGAGAGATATATCATAATCTACACTTGGAAAATCTTGGAAGGAATGGTCCCAAATCTGCACACAGAAATCACTCCCTACGAAAGTAAAAGACTGGGCAGGCGATGCAAAATGCCGCCAATAAAAAGTAGGGGCGCCATTGGTACACTAAGAGAAAACACCATAAGTGTCCGGGGCCCAAAACTGTTCAACAGCCTTCCATCAAGCATTAGGGGAATTGCCAATAAACCCCTGGCTGCCTTCAAGAGAGAGCTGGACAGATACTTAAAGTCGGTGCCGGATCAGCCGGGCTGTGACTCGTACGTCGGACTGCGTGCGGCCAGCAGTAACAGCCTAGTTGATCAGGCCCTGATCCATCGGGAGGCCTGGTCGTGGACCGGGCCGCGGGGGCGTTGATCCCCGGAATAACCTCCAGGTAACCTCCAGGTAACCCTGCCTTGGTGGGATATGGCCGGTTTGTTGAATATATATATATATATTCTCTCCCTCTCCAAGAAGATACCACGATACTGGTGAAGACAGATGCAACAATAAAATAATTTAATTAACGTTTCGTCCCGTACTGGGGCTCTCAAAAATGTCCAGTGGATGTAACTTGTCCTTATTAAATGTCCCAAGTGATGAAAGTAATAATAATAATAATAATAATAATAATAATAATAATAATAATAATAATAATAATATTTATTTCTACAAGTACATGTACAAGGTATACAGGTGTAGCTGACATCAATG